CCCCCCCAGACTGTCAGGGACAGCAAACGGTGCCTGTCCCCTGAGGAGGAGGTGGGACCCCCTCTTGGGACCCCCAAATCCTCTCCAGAGCCTCCCAGACTGTCCGGGGCAGGAAATGGTGCCTGTACCCCAAGGGGCAGGTGGGACCCCCCCCTTGGGACCCTCCTGGAACCCCCAAACACCCCCAGAGATGCCACCTCTGTCCCCCAAGGAGGAGGTGGGACCCCCCCTACCTTGGGACCCTCCTGGGACCCCCCCCCCCAGCCCCTGTCCCCGAGGAGGAGGTGGCACCTGAGCAGGACACTGTCCCTGGGGGTGTCCTCGTGGGTGTGACCCCCTGTCCCTGTGACACCATCCCCGAGGGTGTCCCCGTGGGGTGACAGTGTCCCTGTCCCCGTGACACTGTCCCTGAGGGTGTCCCTGTCCCTGGGGGTGTGACCCCCTGTCCCCTGTGACCCCACAGGTAGTGGGCGGGACCTGAACGTGACACTCTGGGGGTGTCCCCGTGGGGTGACACTCTCCCTGTGATACTGTCCCTGGGGGTGTCCCTGTGAGGTGACAGTGTCCCTGTCCCCACGGGGGGTGTGATGCCATCTGCAGAGGTGTCCCCACAGAGGGGTGGCACTGTCCTGGGAGTGTCCCTGTCCCCATGGGGGGTGATGCCATCCCCAGGGGTGTCCCCACAGGGGGGTGGCAGTGTCCCCAGAGTGTGGGTGTCCCTGTCCCCAGAGGGGTGTCCCTGTCCCCGTGAGGGGTGTCCCTGTGCCCAGAGGGGTGTCCCTGTCCCCATGGGGGGTGTCCCTGTCCCCTGGGTGTCCCTGTCCCCATGAGGGGTGTCCCTGTCCCCATGAGGGGTGTCCCTGTGCCCAGAGGGGTGTTCCTGACACTGACCCTGTCCCTGTCCCCAGGAGTACGCGGGCAGCGGGTGGAACCTGAACGTGACATTGTCCCTGGGGATGTCCCTGTCCCCAGAGGGGTGTCCCTGTCCCCATGAGGGGTGTCCCTGTCCCCAGGGTGTCCCCAGAGGGGTGCCCCTGTCCCCATGGTGTCCCCATGGAGTGACCCTGTCCCCTGCAGGAGTACGCGGTCAGCGGGTGGAACCTGAACGTGATGCCGGTGCTGCAGCAGTCCGTCCTGTGCCACATCAACGCCGACATCTCGGGCATGAAGGTGCCCTGGCTCTACGTGGGGATGGTGTTCTCGGCCTTCTGCTGGCACATCGAGGACCACTGGAGCTACTCCATCAACTACCTCCACTGGTGCGACCCCGGGGGGGCTCCTGGGGGGCTGCTGGGGGCATTTGGGGGGCCGGGGAGGAGGTTAAAGGGTGTTTGGGGGGCCAGAAGGGTGATTGGGGGGCTTTTGGGGTGGCCAGAGGGGACCATCGTGGGGTGCCCTGAGGTGACCTTTTTGGGGTTCTCTGACCCCCTTTCCCCATGAGGGAGCCCAAGACATGGTAGGGGGTGGGATGAGGAGGTTTTTGGGGTTTTTGGGATGGAATGAGAAGGTTTTTGGGGTCTGTCCCCAGGGGGAACCCAGGATGTGGTACAGGGTGGGATGAGGAGGTTTTTGGGGTGGGATGAGGAGGTTTTGGGGTGGGATGAGGAGGTTTTGGGGTGGGATGAGGAGGTTTTTGGGGTGGGATGAGGAGGTTTTTGGGGTGGGATGAGGAGGTTTTTGGGGTGGGATGAGGGGGTTTTGGGGTGGTTTTGGGGTTCCATGACCCCATTTCTGTAGGGGGGAGCCCAAGACGTGGTACGGGGTGGGATGAGGAGGTTTTTG